CCAGTTTCACAATCCTCAGCCCCGTTATCCAAACCCAGTCCCTGTCTCCTTCCCCTCAGCCCCCGACACCAACTTGCCGTCCTCCATCCTACGTCATCTAGTCCTGTTCTCCTTCTCCATCCCGTTGCCCATCCTTCTCACCCCATGTTTCCCCTTCCCCCCTCCCCAGCCCCATATTCCCCTCCCCCTACGCCCAGCCCAGTCCCCAGCCCCATTTCCCAGCTGTAGTCCCCATGCCTACGTTCTTCGACTTCCAGCCAGCCATCTAGACTCCATCCCCTAGTTCCTGTTCCCCCAGCCCCCGCACTGGAGCTCCCATTTCACAACCCTGGACCCATCACTCAGCCCTCATCACCTGGGCCCTTGTTTCACAACCTGGACCCATCACTCATCCTCCCATCACAACCTGGACCCATCACTCAGCCCTCATCACCTGGGCCCTTGTTTTGGACCCATCACTCATCCCCTCATCACCTGGGCCCTTGTTTTAACCTGGACCCATCACTCAGCCCTCATCCTGGGCCCTTGTTTCACAACCTCGACCCATCAGCCCTCATCACCTGGGCCCTTGTTTCCAACCTGGACCCATCTATCACTCCCCTCATCACCTGGGCCCTTGTTTCATAACCCTGGACCCATCACTCATCCCTCATCACCTGGGCCCTTGTTTCATAACCCTGGACCCATCACTCGTCCCACATCACCTGGGCCCTTGTTTCATAACCCTGGACCCATCACTCATCCCTCATCACCTGGGCCCTTGTTTCATAACCCTGGACCCATCACTCATCCCTCATCACCTGGGCCCTTGTTTCATAACCCTGGACCCATCACTCGTCCCACATCACCTGGGCCCTTGTTTCATAACCCTCATCACCCAACTACCATCTCCTCGCCCCGTCCCTCTCAGCATGATTGTCTTATGTTTGAATGTGTCTCAAAATGTTGTGTTATGCCATACATTACTGTAGACAAGTATCACCGATCATGATCGTTCACAATATATTCTAGTACTGTATATTCATCTTTCACAACCAATCGCGCAACACTCATATGAAGTACCGCTCATTACTCGTGACAAAACATCATGACTTGTGTATCATCATCATTCACAACCCAACTCAACTTTCATCCAGTACTTACAGTATATCATCGTTCATATCTCGTCACAACATTGCCACATAATGTAATACCTGTACAGTATCATTGTGGCACATCAAAACAGTCTCTCTCTCATATATATATATATATATATATATATATATATATATATATATATATATATATATATATATATATATATATATATATATATATATATATATATATATATATATATATATATATATATCTTGATAAAATCACACGGGAAAATGGAAACAACGGAGTACCTTAGCTTTCGTCTTTATTCAAGACACTGGTTAGTTTTGATGTAATACACTACTGTGTCATTGTTTACAAAGGTCCCAGTTGATGATTTGTTTGGTTTCCTCGCAGATTCCCTGGAAAATATTTCCTTGCCCTGTGCAAACAGTGTTTTTATTAAATTTAACTGTTTATTAAGGATTATTAATTTGAATTCAATGGAGAATATTATGTTAAAAAAGGTATAATGATGGGTAATCCTCTTTCACCAGTGTTGAGCAACTTATACATGGAATTATTTTTAGAAGAGATTAAACTTAGTAATATTTTACCACCTTCTGCCGTTTGGTTTATACAGTATATGAGGGCCTCAGAAGCATAAGGCCGCAAGTGCCACCATGGGGAAAATGGAGTTGCAGTATTGGTATATACCAACTTATTTTCTAAGTTGAGTTCTGTCTTATGGAGCTTGGATTTGTGGCTTTGTGTTACTCTCACATGGTCGAAAATAGCACTGACATAGATTGGTTTGTGGTTATGGAGTAACAAACGAAAAACTTAAGGGGCTTGTTTCTCACATTTTAAAAACAGTGCTTGTGGCCTTGTGATGATGTACAGTAATAAGTTTTTGGCTACTACTTAACAACTTAGCCCCCTTGATCAAATTCACTTTTGAATTAAAAAGTGACTGTAAATTGACATTACAAAACTACTGTATGAAAAAGGAACTGGAATAGTGATTTATGCCTAAATGACTTATTAGTGAAGCTACTATGACTACTGTACATATAAATATGCAAAGGTAAAAAGATGAGGCCTACTGTACCACAGTTAAATAATTTCATCACTGCCACACTATCAAATCTTCTGGAATTTAATTACTTTTTCTAACTAATTATTAAAACAATAGTCTATGCACTGATTCAGTGGATTTCCCTGGTACTGTATAAGCAAATAATGAAGAATCTAAAGTAAATTTTAACCGTGTTGCTAACCGTTACTGGACGGTGTTGAATGTACAGTACAGTAGTCCTAATACTATATGTTCTACTTCGAGGATTATTTTACACCACCTAAAATATTATGACCTAAACCGTAACCCAAACTAAATTGTCCTGTGCGTATTATATTAGCACCGGACACAATATTCAGTTCATTGACTCATCACAACTGGCACATTTAATCATTCTTTACTCATCACAACTCTCACATTTAATCATTCTTTACTCATCACAACTCTCACATTTAATCATTCTTTACTCATCACAACTCTCACATTTAATCATTCTTTACTCATCACAACTCTCACATTTAATCATTCGTTACTCATCACAACTCTCACATTTAATCATTCTTTACTCATCACAACTCTCACATTTAATCATTCTTTACTCATCACAACTCTCACATTTAATCATTCATAACTCATCATAGTATTATCTAATATTTTATTGCCTGTGTCTCCTCCCAGCACTGTTACATAATTCAATATAGTATTCAGATTGTATCACAACATACTGTACACTATTTCATCATTCATAACTCCTCACAACATTCATACATAATTCCCTTGTTCATAACTAGTCACAATATGATCACAAATTCCATAATTTTTATACAGTACTCTGCAGAACACCATCACATACTGTATATTGTTTCCTAAGTTACACCATTTGTTTATTTTAGTTGCTCTACAGTACTGGTCAGCTCCTTAAACAAAATTCATATAATGTACTGTATGTACATTTGTTTACCACTACATACAACTAAATATTACTTTACAAACTCAACCTTCCATCTGTTTAAAAATTTAAATTGTTTATTGTTCAATTATATTGCAAATTATCAGTTGTAGAGGATGATGAAGAAGTAGTTATATACTATAGTGAGGACATTGGTTTTCTTAATTTTCACTCATTCAACTAAAAGAAAAAACTTGAATACCAAGATTAGAGTTATAGAAATCTTATCTTGGTAAACATATATTTGGAGGGTATATTAAGTCAAACATGGCATGGAGGATAATTGCCACGGTGGTGTTGGCACAGGGGAACATATTGTCATTCTTTAATTCTGTACATTATATCACAAACTTCATAACACTTTTAATTTTACATGTTTCAGGGAATTGATTTGATATTCGTTTAGTAATTAGAAAAGTTTTTGGATAGTTTCTTTTACTTGGGGAGTTTATCATCTTTCTTAGATCTCATTATGGGCCTCTTTTGACAGTATTCTTCTGCTCAATGTGTTAAGGACTCTCTCTGCATCTCACACATTTCCACAGATGCTTCAAATGTTGATGTAAATTGGATCATTACTGCTTACGATAATACAATACAGTACTGTACTAGGATCTCACAGGTATTACCCAGTAGCTAATATTAGTGAAAGGTCGTCTTGAACATTAACCCTTACCTGGTGGCTAAGCTTTCTCTACTCCCCCTCTCCACATGTGCAAAAATGGAATGTAAGGTACACGAAACATCCACTATGATGGCCACTGTCCCGACAGTTAACTTCCACTGATGATGGCTGTCATTTAAGCGATAAGGCCTCATGTTATATTACATCTCATAATGATTTCAGCAGTACCGTATCATCCAAGCTCAAAATGACCCCAGATATTTCACAAATGCTTCTAATGATACCAGAGGCACCAAGTGCCAGACAGATTTTATAATACTGTAATACCTAGTGCCTCACAAGTACTGTACTGTACTGTACTGTACTAATGATCTCATTTAACTCCAAGATTTAATGACACCAGTTGCCCCATGGGTGCTCATTGTAAAACCAGGTGTTTTACAACGGCTGGGTATAGTTTTCACGAGTACTTAGGATATTGCCAATACACAAGTTACGTCAAATGACTCCAAAGGTTTTTATAAAGATACCAAATTGAATCATAAGTGCACACAATGACACCAAGTAATTGGCATTTACTTACAATGATGCCAAGTGTTTGACAGAATATACTGTATTTACAGTAAAGTACAGTATTTAATTTTTTTTTTTTTTTTTATTTATCATGGTTAATTGTCATGATTTCAAGTGATTACAGTATATTTCATTTCAGCATTGATACAGTAGCTACATTATTATTTTTTGTGGGGGGAGGTTGCAGTGACTGAGTGGATACAGCACTTGTCTCCTGTCCTAAGGGTCATTGGTTCACTTAACCATCCAGTTCACATAGGTGTAAACGGGTACCTCAGCTTAAAGTTTGGGGAGTGAAAGCAGTCAAGGGCAGTGCCAGCTACACTTGTACTGTATGCCAAAAGGGGGTTTGCCTACAGTGTGGTCTGTCCACACTATCCTAAACAGGCTGTCAGGGTTATATGACTAACTATAACTTTTGTGTTAATTTTTGGCAAGGTTCTGGCTCCTGGGGCTTTGATTTCTGTGCAGATACTGTATATATTTTATCCTGCAACAGTACTGTACTGTACTTGCCTTACATTGTTCATATAAAGACAATAACACCAATCATTGAAAGGCAAGCTGCAGTCTGTCATCATCATCATAAACATTATTGCACACACACACACACACACACACACACACACACACACACACACACACACACACACACACACACACACACACAGTGCTGATGTGGTACCTTCCTTCAGGTGAAGCATCAGTATCTGGGAATGAGGACTTTGAATGGGTGCGAGCTTCCCCAATGTTGACTGGCCTTCTGGAAGGCCATGTCACACGCCTGGCCACTCCTCCAGACCACCGTGTTCACTCCACAAGATCCAGTTTGGCCACACCCCCAGAATCTAGTGAGGAGGGCAGTGGAGGGCCAGCACACCGCCATCGCCAGTATAACCGCCCTCCTCCAGTACCCCGACCTCGAACACTTGAAGCGGGAGACTTAGTTCCTCACAGACCAATAAGAGATGCCCTCAGAGATGGGCTTCGAGACTCTAGGGATGGGATTCAAGATCGTCTGTATTCCCCATCACGAGATCTGACTGGCCATAGACGATCCCGAGATTCGTCAGTAGAGCGGAGTGGGAGAGATTCTTCTTGCGAACGGGGATCTGTTTCGAGCCTTCATCAGCACGGTCACCATCACCATCACATCACTTCCCACCTCCCTCAAAATGGGTGTGAGTGCCCCTCTTACTGGTGTGATGATGAAGAACCAGGTTATGATTCCTGTGATGAACGTCATCACCACCATCGTCACAGTTACCACGAAGGTCTTCACCATGCCCACTTGCATCAACTTAAGACTCATCATCATCAGCAGTCTGTACGTGAACGACGGAATAGGGGCCAGGGGTCTGGTGACAGTGGAAGGTCATCACCATGCTGTTGTAGACACTGTCATCATCTTGGTTCATTAAGTTCACTCTCGAGTCATGACTTCTGCACCAACAACCGCCTAGCTCTGCCGTGCACAACCAAGGTGGGTGGAGTCCTCCTCACCCCCCAGGGGAGCCGCCGACACCGTCGCCTCGACTCAGACTACATCACATTGTGGAGCTGCCATTCCCCGCCGGTATGTGCCACCCACAATGATGCCCACACACTGATGCTCATACTACCTTAACACTTGTTCCACATCCTTTCGAATTTCTTAAATTTGATGAATATTGACAAAAAATGTTGCACAATATTGACAGAACCAGATCATTAGTTTGCAAAGAAATTTTGTTGAGGGGCACAAACATTAAGGTTACATCAGTTTAATGTGGGTAATGCTGATCATATGGTGTGTGGTATGTATGGGCAATGGCAACTGTGTGTGAGATTAATGTTGAATGCAGTATTTTGCACTTAGCTGTTAAACTCTCCTAGCTCCAGTTCATATATTTTCTTAAAAAACAAATGAATATTCTATTTTGCAACATGATAGCAGTGGGATGAAATTAAAAAAATATATTAATTTTAGTCTTTATCAATTGATAAATAATTAAATCTAGAGAAGATCCATTACACTCACTACTCTATTAAGGAAAAATATTATTGTACTGATATGAATATTGTTGGGCCTGTATGTTGTCAGTAGCAGCATGAATGAGTACTGTAAAGTATATTATTGTGGCACTAACGATGAGGTGTCAACTGAGGCGGACAGTTACTCGGCGAGCTCTCTGTTGGGGGATGGGCTGTTCTCTAGTGGCTCTTCCACATGTAATTAACTCAACTTTTTGTTTTGTGTGTGTAACCAAAAAGTTTTAACCCTTTGAGTGAAATGTGTTCTTCATATACTGTACTGTAGTAGTGTGTCATATTTAACCAATCAAATGAGTTTAGAGTAATTAATATCATGGCATTTGAACTTTTTTTTATTAAACTTCTTGTGGTGTAATGTAGTGAAACTTTGTGTCTACTCACTACTTACATTTCTTTTTGTATGTTTTCTTCTTCTCTCTAATGTTTATGTGGGGCAATAGGTATTTATTTATTTATGAGGGGAGAAGCAGGCATAATATCACCATAGAAAACTAGATACTGTACTTCATAATTATGTAAAGTAAACTTTCCATTAGCTGTAATCCTCGTTAGCCGAAACTCTCCAAAAGTACTTGAAATTGAAATCAGCTCTGAATTTTTCCGGGACAACTCTCTCCTTTCCGGGTCTGTGAACGAGTTTCTGAGGTTCAAAATCAGCTGCAATTTCTGAGAAAATTCTGTAAAAATCTCTCCTAATGTTTTTTCCGGGATGAAATAATGCGTAAATCTGGAAAGTTCCAAGAAAATTCCAGACAATCTCTTCCAATTTTACTATTCCGGGTTTGGGAAAAAATTCCGAGGCTAAAATAATGTGCAATTTCTGGAAATATTCTGAGAAAATGGTGTGAAAAACTCTCCAAATTACAGTACAGTACTCTGCTCCAGGCTTGGGGACAATGGTTTTCAGGGAGTGACGAAAGATTGCATCATATTCTAGGGTCCTCACGGGCTGGGTGCATGGGTGGGAACACTTTTATTGGCTAATGCTGTCATGTGACCTCATAGGATGCCTGTGATAGGCTGATGCATTACTGTACATTGCTGTCCAGGACACAATCAACCAAGAATACAATGTTAAGACATAAACAGTGATTACAGTGTGTAATTTTACTCTAAATTAACATTGTTAGTATGAACACCATACACACACTACTGCACATATCAGTGGAGAGTGTTTGTGTACTATACATTACTGTACCAGGACACAATCAGCCAAGAATACAGTGTTAAAGCAGGCTTAAGACATATCACTCTTGATTTGCCTCTGTCCTCCATGGCGAGAGAGGACATTGACAGTTCACATCTCCTGCCACAACAGATGGTACAGGACAAAGGCAGGCCATTCTGTATCATAATATCACCTTTGGTCTGCCTGCATCACAAGCTCAAAGCAACAGCATCTGCTGGCAAATACTCTATACACTTTATTTTACTTATTTATATTGTGTAATGTTTTTTGTTTACATTACTGTATTTACAATATATTGTATGTGTACAGTGGTGTTTGTATAAATAAATATACTGTTTTGTGTCTGTCTGTGCAAGACGCATAGTTTTGACTCGTGGAAAACTTTCCCCAGCACTGATGCATAGTTTAAAATCTTGGAAAACTTTCCCCAGAACCTGAAAACATTCCAAGGATGTGTGATAGTGTCTGTCTGTGTGAGATACATATTGTTGTTCAGACTCATGGACACTTTGCCCCAGTACCCGGAAAATTTTGGGGATGTGGGATTTTTCCAGTATGAGAGTTGTCTCGTTACCCAGAAATCTCTCATCCCCGGAAGAGCTTTGCACCAATTATTCTGACTAATGGGGATATCACTGGAGAAAAAAAAAAAAAAAAAGAGGGTAGAAAATTTTTTTTTTTTCCAGAAATTTTCCGGTATTTTTATAGCCCCTCGTCAATGTACATTTTGAGTCGCTTCCATCATTATAGTGTTATTAGATTATTTACACATTTATTTTCATTCATTTACATTAACTATTGTCAAAAGTAGTGCTGGAAAGTACTGTACTCTGCAAAGGTATTGTACAATCATTAGCAATATTTTAAGATATATTTTCTATACAGTACTCTTGAGTAAAGTATTTTGATAATTTCAAAATACTGTACCTGTATACTGTACTGTACTTTATGTATAAAATAATCTATCATTATTACTAAAGAAAACACAGTTTCAGGAAAAGAATAATGTAATCCAATTACCAATTTCGAGAGAGAGATTTTGTCAATCTTATTAAAAAATTTTTTTTTTTTTATCTTGGTGTTTTTTACCGAAAAAAAAGTTTTATTCCTCGGGAAAAAACATTTACTTCACTAAATATCACTGTACAGTACGTATTGGTATTTTATGCAAGTTTTTATCTTGTATGAATTAGACTGCAGTGGTTCTCAACCTTTTTCAGCTTATTACCCCCATTTGCTGCCTTCTTCAGGTCTTTGTTATCCACTGCCGCACCAGTCCAGTCATAATCAAACCAGAGTTGGTAGCATAACATCAGACCAGGAAACTATTTTGCCTGCTCCAGTATTGAGCAATGGGAGAACTGCCTTTTTCAGCCTACTAATTTTTTTTTTGCCTATTATTATAAACCTTGATTCCTCACCATATGAAATTGAAATGAATGGAAAATTGGAGAATTATTTGAAATTTACTAATGTGGATGGAATTTACCGAAATTGCATTACCCAGTGAAAACCACCCATAGGTTGAGGTCCACTGAATTAGAGGCTTACCACAAAAAGTTTACCATTGTCATGTGTGTCCTCACTAATATCCATAAATAACACTTCATACATTATTGTTTTAAATATAACAGATATGATAATAACACATGAATGTTTGGGAGCGTGTATTGTCAATTTAAATATTGTTTTATGTGAACATTTGGAAACAAATTTATGTACAGTAGGTACAGTAATTTTAATAACACAACCTTATGAGCATGCACAAAGCTGAAATTAGTGTGTCTATGCAAGTATTTTTATTGCTTTAATGTGCCAATTTCAGGGGTGGAGTGGCATTTAGTGTACTCAGACAAGTGCTCAGTTGGCCCCCCCCCCCTGATCTTGCCTTAGTGGGCCTCTAAAAAGGAAGAAGCAACAGAGGGCTGTATGTTGCAGTTGTGGATTAAGGGCCCAGTGTGGGATAAAGGGGTCCTTGTTAGGTGCCTAATGGGTAAGAGTCAAGATGGGCAACAAGTGCACCAATGATTAAGGGACTAGGAGAGTGACAAGTGCCCAGGGGGCTATAAGAGCCTAAACATTAAGGGTGCAGGGGGTGACAAAAAACCCAAAGATTAAAGGTGCATGGGTGTGATACAGGCCCTAAAGATTAAGGGCCCAATGAGAATGGGCCCCTCTGAACATTGTTTTCTGGGCTTTTGAGGTGTTTACTGTATGCTCATTCTACTCCTGAACTTTGTATGTCATGTTATTCATTATTTACATCTGCATTATGTTTCAATTTAAGGTAGGACGCATGAAGTGTTACCATATCGGAAGATGTTATTAATTATCTTATTGTGTTTAATGTACAATTGCTAATACAGGCTGTGAATAATTTATTTGTGTGATGGCTGAACATGTATATGTAGTGTGCTTGTTATCCAGGATGAGGGTATGCTATTTTTAATTGTGCTTGCATCGTATGCTTGTTTTTCACTCAGTCATTGATGGAACCCACCAAAATGTACTTACTATAAGCTTCTTAACTTACATTGGACTAATTTCAACTTGAGTATACTGTACTGTACTGTATTTAGTTGTGCAACAGCTGTGTACAATATGTTATTATGACACTATTCTTTCTAGCACTTCTCAAACTGTGCTCTCATCTTGGAAAAAAAAAATATTGTCCAGCCTATACCTGGAAAGGTGATCTATCCTCTTCTTTCAACTGTCAACCCAAAGCTATCACCCCAATCATCACTAAAGTCTTCATGGAATTTTTCATGAACATACAACTACAGACACCCTGAAGAACACCACCTGCTCTTTCACTCCCTGTATAATTTTTGTTCCAGCCATAACCATTACATACTTACTGTACTCATAACCTTAAATATGCTCTTGGCAGCTTGATATGTCACCAAATTTTGTTTTGCCAAACTTTGTTTTCTCCCTGATTTTTGTAGATTTCCAAATCTTCTTTCTCTCCAACCACCGCCCATGTTGGAGTGCCCAAAATCCATTTTTAGTGACCTCTTCTCCAACCCATCCTGAAACATTTGCAGTATATTATACTGTACTACTGCCTCAGTGTCCTCATTTTGTAAGCTTTCCCAGAAGGTCACTTAAATGCAACAGTTTCCTTTAACACAGATACTGAGCCCATAACTCATTGGGACACAAGTACTGTAGCACAATTACATTTGATGCATCCTAGATAAAAATTTTCATTGTCTTTGATAATTGTGATAATTTTTTCCTTACATACAGTTTATATTCAGTAACACCCATATTGTACCAACCATTGATGTCAGTATACACTGTATCTGTGGTCTTATTGTAACCAATAATTATCTTTGAATTACCACCTGTCTAAAATTACAAAGAATGCATCCAAAAATTTAAAATATCCATTTTAGGCTAATCTTGACCTCCACACAACTCCTTATTTTTTTTTACAATTTCCATGTCCATCCTTTCATTGAATACCTGTAGTATTTTCATATGGAGTAATACATCACAGTCCTATTTTTCTTTATAATTTCAATCTCAAACATTCACATCATTACTGACCAGTCCCACAACCTCCTCCTTACCTCATCTTATGCCACACAATCTGTCTTATCACTTTCTCTTTTTACTGTTGTTTCCATGGTCTGTGCACCAATGAAATCCAGTGCTTTATCCCCTCATGATACACATTATTCATTGTCATGCCACCCTTATGCTTTCCAAGTTCCATTTATAGTTGAATTTAATCATTATTCTTCTCTTTCAGTTCATGCACTTCTTGCTAATGGAACTCCTTTCTCTTTGATATCTTTCCATTCTCAAACAACTTACAATTCTAAAAATGTGTGGCATACATTTAATTTTTATTGTACAGTTTAATATTCCATTTTCTTCTTTTTTATTTATAATTCACCACCCTAGTATGCGAATGTGTCACGTGTCATTTGTGTTCCCTCCAGGCGATACACAGTCATGTGTACACACAGTCAAAAAGTATCTTTATAAATGGGTATGAGGGATTTCAAAATGAACACTGCGACCTCTGTTGTTTCGGTAGGGTTGTCAAAATCCTTCATTCATTGTCTAACGCAAATTTTTAAAGACTTTTTTTATTGTGTGTACCTCCGCCAGTAGTCCTTTGTAAAGTTAGAAAAAAGTTACTGATTGAGGAAAGCTGAATGTCACTCACAATTTCTATGCTGATACAGCATTATACATGCTTACTAGAACAAGGCTTAGCTTATTTGTCCTTTAGTTATTGTTTCTGCATTGATTAATTTATAATAAGATTTATGATAAAATAAATACTGTACTCTTATTGGTTAACCCTTTCACAGCGGGAGGTTACCCTAAGCTGAATAAAATCGTGTGGCGGTAGCCAGAATAAAATGGCAAGTGCGTGACACGCTGTGAAAGGGTTAAATTATTCAGATTAAAATACAGTAGTTGTGTATTTGTGCTGGTTAATAGTACAATACATGTTTTGTATACAGTACTTATAATATTTTCTCTGTTGTCAACTGTGTGAGTACTTATTACAGGGTGGCTCTCTTGAGGACCGTGTCATCCGACTGGAGGGAGACAAGGATTCTCTGCAGCTTCAGGTGACAGTCCTCAGTGAACAAGTTGAGGCACAAACAGAGAAAATATTAGACTTGGAGAACTTACTAGAGCAGAAAAAAGAACAATTGCAAAAGACTGAGGAACAGTTACAGAAGGTAAGTTGGGATGTTTGACGGTAAGATAAGGAGCAGAGCAACATTAGGTGACTTTGTCGTGGACTGAGTTAAGTTTTGACAGATTACATGTACTACCAATTAACACTCTTGGGTTTACTCCTACTAATATGGAACATGATACAGTAAGTCTGTATAAATGAAATAAATAAATAAATAATGATAATAATTCCTTCCTATGGCTATGGTGTTCTTGGAATGAGGGTAAAATACCGTAAACTCAGCGTGTTAGCAGCGTCCTTGTTGATGTGTTATTAGCAAGTTGTTGTTGTTATGATAGTTACTCGTACTAAGGTGTTCATACTACAGCAAGTACTGCAAAAACATGAAATGGCAATGAAATTCTAGTAGTCTTCGTCACACGCTGGTGATGGTTCTCTGCATTATTCACCAATATTATCATAATTTCAAGTTTCTTTCAAAAGCTAAAAGATGTTTCCCTATAAAAGTACAGGTTGGGACCCGATAGTCCGGCAGCTTCGATGGTTCGGAACGGTATTTGAATCTGGCTGTCGTTAGTTTCCAAGACTACTGCTTCGCCAGTTGCGGCACCACCATCTACTTATTTCTGTGTCACATTACAGTACAGTAAACTAGTGCCATAACACTAACACTTTGTCATAAAGAGGTCTTTTAAGCTTGGTCTAGATCTATGCTGATGTAAGTTGTATTGGTACCAGTAATAGTTCACATTTATGCATTATTTTGCCTTTTTTTTTTTTAACCTCGTCTTTGATAGTTTGGAATTTTCACTAATCCAGAACCAGTCTGGTCCCAAGCTTCCCGGATTGGCAAAGTACAACCTGTAAAAAGATAAATGTTGCAGGTATGAGATTTAATAGATAGTGATGCTTGTACGAGTTCAGAAACAGTTACTGCTTAGCTCTGAATAGCTGGGTGCCATACGTATGGACGATAATTCTATTGGGTTATCCAGGTAAATTTTGTTTTCTGGTGACAGCATCTGGGGGATTCATTAGTCTGTGGGAGACCTACAACTTCACCTATTGGATGCAGGGTGATTTTTTTTAGCTATTTGTTTGGTAAGAAAGTGCGTCTTATATGCCGTAAAATATGATAAGCATTCCAGCATATAGAGCACAATTATTTTTAAACAATTTTAAGTATGGGTACTGTAAAGTTACATCTTATTCATGTACAGTATTTTATCTATAGTTTTAGGTTACTGTAAGGTGAATGAAAGTATCTTTCTCCTGTGACCACCTTAGTCCAGTACCACCTAACAGAACTTAATGATACAGCAGTATCATATGTGTCTCTCAATCTTGTGTCCTGGATTCAATCCCTGACTTGGGACAAAAGCAAGAAGGATGTTATCCAATGTGACTCCCAAACTTGGTAGGTTTCCTCCAGGTGCTCTGGTTTCCTCATGTACAAAAACTGAACAATAAATTTCATAACAAAGAACAAACCAAACAGCCAAATGGGTAGTAAACAGGTAAGTGGTGGGAACAAAATAATTTTGATATTTTCACAATTGAAATTGATCACCTTTTTCTGTTTTCCAACAAACTCATGACTACCTTTACCAACAACTACTGTAGTTTAATTATCATGACCAACTTTTATCTAGAGACCATTTTACTCAGGTGACCACCAGACTCCAGAGAAAACTTTATACCAGTGATTCACCACCTAATTTCTGTGACCATCTTGCTGCAGAGATCACTTTACTTTAGTAATAATTTGATTCTAACTAAGCATACACCAGTTACTTCAGAGAAGACTTTATTCCTACAGACCACCTCACTCCAGTGATTAGCTTACTTCAATGGCCACCATAATTCACTTTATATATTACTCTAGTGACTAATGAGATTTTAACAAATTACTATTTAAACCTCTCTAATCATGTATCCGATGTTTGGTATCATTTGTGATTGAATGCCTTGACATGATTAATTGATTTGGATTTAGTACATCTGGCGTCGTGACAGTTGAGTCGTGTGACGCTGTACTGTATTCACTATTTTTGTTTTGTTTAAATATGTACAGTACAGGTGTCCCCCAATTTACGATCTCCCTATTTATGATATTCCACTTTAACAATGGTGATGTATTAAGACCACCCCCTATTTATGATGTAAACAATACGCATGAACAAATTACTGTACAGTAGTACAGTACAGTACTAAAGTGCCTCTATCGTCACCTACCATTCCTCTGTGTCACTTACTATGATGCTTCATTCTTCACCTACAGTGCTGCTAAGTGTTACTTTTTTTTCCATTTGGTAATTCTATGTATACATATATGGGTCAATAATTTTGTTTTGTTTTTATTTTTGGTAAAGGGGGGGGGGTGCCTAGATAAGTCGGAATTTGGGATAACTAGGCAAGACCAGAGCCCCATATGTGCTGAGTTATCGAGGGGTTTACTAAACCTGGAAAATTGACTGGACAGTAATTTTTTACAATAATGTTTTTTTTAATTTATATTACATCATACTGTACATCCTCTGCTTACTTTAAACCTTTCCCTGTATATTATAGAACTTTAGCAATGTTTCTCAGGCATCACTTCCCCATATTTCCCATTAGAGTGTTTGCAGTAATGTACTATATTGACTTTACCAGTTGAGAATGGAGGGGACAGCATTACCTGCCCTGATAAGGATGATAATTTAGCTATACTAAATCTGTGATTGATATCCATAATACTGTACTGTTCAGTGCATTCTAACATCTCCCTTTTGATATATTTGATTAATGTTTGTTCTAGGAATTGATGACAAGGTCGAGCTTAGAGACGCAGCGTCTAGAACTATTTAGCGAAATTAGTAATTTGAAGCTTCATCAAACAGCGTACGAACGAGAAAATATTGATCTTCGAGAAAAGATTCGACGGTCAGATCAGCAGTCAGATCATGTCAAAGCACAGGTAGGTACCATTATGTCTTGTATTTCATGTCTTTTGTGCTATACTGTATCTATCACAACAAATTTAATGGCCACAGTGTTATTCATCAAGTGGCCAGCAAAATTACATGACCAAAGAATCCCCTGGTGATACCTGCCTTTTTCAATTGGCCATCTGCATTCTGAGATAGAATCACTGGCCCCCCCAAAAAAAATTATGCTAAATTATGCTATAGATAGCCTTTTGTCCAGTCAAGTCAGCATTTAAGAAACAAACTTCATCCTTGATTAAGTGATACTGAATAACATACCATTTGCAATGCAGTGCACCCTTGTTTTTAGCCGATTTTTTATTTGCAATTTCAACTATTCACAGATTTTCTTCAGAAATATGTTTTCATTGCAACATGTATTACTGATTTCATATGCGATTGAATTGTGCGCGCGAATGAGTTTAAGCAAGAAACCCCCAGAGCACAGCTTCTCACCTCCCCTCTGTCTCACGCGCATCCCCCGCCATACTCTGTATACATATTACTGCGACCCGTGTGTTTGCTTGTAAATCACATAATGGCCCCAAAACGTCCTTCTAAAGGTGGTAATAAAGGTGATAATGCACTAAAGAAGCCCAAGAGAGCTAACAAAGTGTTTACATTAGTCAATAAAGTCAAAATAATAAAGCAACTTCAGAGCGGCATGAGCTATGCTGCATGTGCTAGAGCATATGGGATGAACGGATCAACAGTTCGCCACAGATTAATCATCATTCATTCATCATCATCTGCTGTGATGTACCAGGGGGAGAGTTGGGAGGGAGGATCAAGAGGACGGGACAACATAACTGGGCTCGTGAGTACAGTACAGTCACCTCTCGATTTACATGGATTTAATCAGCACATTTTTTAAATAACATTGGTATTAAGTTAGTACCTAGTTTTAAAATAACACAAAAGCTTTTTTTAAATAGCACGGTTTTGAAAAAAAGTTTCATTGTGCCAGGCAGTGTAGTTCATTACCTTTTTGCTTTCCTACCTTACAAAAAAGTAAAAAAGTAACATCACCTGAACCTCAGCCATCAACATCTGGCATCTTGAAAGCTTCCACTTCTCCCCCATCACTTGCTCTGTCATTTGATTCAGATGACTCCGTCCCCCAGTAACCCCCCACCTTTCCTCCACCACCACTAGTTCCCTCATGCCATCCCACCCATCATTCAATGTAAATGTTAGAACAAATTTTCATTAAAAATCTTACTACAGTGGTCCCTCGGTTAACGAACACAATTCGTTCCAGAAGGTAGTTCGTTAACCGAAAATTTTGTTAACCGAAACCATTGTTTCAATGGGATTTTGGGTAATTGGTTCCAGCTCACTGAAAATTACATACAAACTAAAAATAAATGCAGTAAAGTACACTTACTTTGAGGTGTGTATGTAGAAGGCTCCTGGTTGATGATGATGATGATGATGATGATGGGAATTAGAATGAGGGTGGAGGAGAAGGGAGAAGAGAAGGCATTGGGGTGGAAGAGAAGTCACCCCATGGCACCATTTCACCCATAAAATTTTAGTTCTCTTGGTGTAATTCAAGATTACTTTCTTTAAATCAACACTGCACTGCATTATAAATTGTCAATATGTAAAATAAATTTCAAAATGACCAATAATTTGCTTGGAAACACAGAAAAAAAGCGTTTAGTTGAAGAGAGTCTGAAGCAAGATGTTACCTCCACTGAAAAGACACAGAAACTGACGCCTGTTTGCTGTGTTGACAGGCTGTTTGGCGCACATAAAACTAGTTTCATTACCTTCAATTATGTTCAATAATTGTTAAAATGACTAAAAAAATTAATATTAAACTTTTAAAATTATTGAATAGTATAAACGTCTTGATATTTACTAAAATAGTAAGGAATTTAAGCCCTAGAACCGATTAATGTATTGGCGGACTGATACTAAAGCTGGTTGCCCGGTCAGTGCAAGCGAAAACATGTTGAAGTCGGTTCGTAAGAACTTCGTTAAGCGAAATTTTTTTCGTTAACCGAATTGAAGATCCTTATGGAAGGCAGTTCGTTAATCGAAATTACGTTAACCGAGGTGTCCGTTAAACGAGGTCACTGTATATATATATATATATATATATATATATATATATATATATATATATATATATATATATATATATATATATATATATATATATATATATATATATATATATATATATATATATATATATATATATATATATTTATTTATTTATTTATTATATATATATATATATATATATATATATATATATATATATATATATATATATATATATATATATATATATATATATATTTTTTTTTGGAATTGAACATTCTAGGAACTTAGTAAAGCTTAATAAACTGATTCTTTGGTAGTACAGTGACATTATTGACTTGTGTGTCAATTTAGAATGCAGTGGGAATTAATGTGAAGGTTAAAGTTTCATTTTGTATAGACTACTAACTATAGAAGTTGAGGGCATATGTGTGTGTGTATGTAGATTATTTCTACTTGTTTTAGTCCTTTCCTGTCACATTTTACTCTAGTCTTAGACCATTCATCCCTGCCATTCTCCTTCTTTGAAGCCTTTGTATCCTTTGATCCAGCCCACATAAAAGTGGGAGAGGATATAAGGCAAAGAATAGGTATATTATTAACACTGACATAAAGAGTGTACCAATAATATCTTACCTTGGCATACTACTAATATTAGATGTATATTCAGCTTGCAGCCCAGCTGACCAACTACTCCTCACCAAGTAGCATCTCTACCCTGTCCACTATCCCAGCCTCCTCACCCAACAAGTCCCCCACTCAACCCATCACTGCTACACCTGCTTCATCACCAGTATCCCCGCATGAAGCTAAGTTCATGCCTCCAAGGGTAAGATGCACATGTACATAGCCCATTAATACAAAGAATTGATATTTTGGACTGATTTTGTTTGCTTAAGTATGTTCAATTTGTACCAGAAAATGAGGTTTAAACCCATAGTTGTCTGGATTGGTCAGAAACAAATGATTCTCAGTGCTGTACTTTCTCATTGAAGTGTGTGATTTTAAAAAGATCACAAATTTAATTAAGTTCCTGTACTTATAAGAAAAATTTTGGCATGAATTAGAGTATCATTACCAAAGCTCACAATGAAAACTTTAGGTTTATCATGATGCAGTACTGTATGACAAAAGTGGAAAGAAAAGACTTATTTTTGCAATTTATTATTAATTACAGCTCCTCCCCGACTTATGACGGGGCTAGGGAAGGATATCCAGGTCATTAAGTCGGAAATGCTTAAATAATACATAGAAAATCTAAAATGGGTGTTTCTTTTTCTTCTCAGCACCACACAACACTCACTCTTAAGCTTGCCAGCCATTTTAAAGTGAATTACAAACGAAAATTTTGTCTGTGTACTGACTTTGGGACTCGAAAATGCGTAATTTGACCAAATTTTGGTACGACTGAGGCAGGTCGTAAGTGCAGGTGGTCGTAAGTTGAGTCGGTCTTTACTGTATGCACCGTCGGTCAGTAATATACTATTTGATTTTGTTGGTGTTTATTGTCTCAATACAGAAGGCACCAATACCTGAAATGTACAGAACAGGAATGCTACACATAGGCTACACCATCTCACACATATACTAGCACACAAACTCCAATGACTATACACTTGGAACAGTACATCTTCCCTCCCTTTATTCATGATGACCGTTCTGTATTGCCGTTCTCTTTAGTTCCATGAGCGGCCAGGTTTATATTAAGTCACGTCTCTCCATCCATTTAGGGTCATCAACTTCATCCGTTCAAACTTTCACTTCCATCCGTTCAGTCTTCAGCTCCATCCTGGTATTTCTTGGTTTTACTATAGTCCGACGTGGTGCGTCTAGCAGGATGGTTCCTCCTCGCTGTTCCCGTCCTGCCTGGACTCGTCCGTCCTTGTCCTTGGCGTGTTGGCAGCGAGTTGTTTTCGGTTTCGATGGGTGTTGTCAGTTCTCTCGGCCGTTTTGTGGCTTCCGTCTGTGTCACTGTCTCGCTGCCGTCATTTCTCCTAGGCATCTCCTGGAACTCTTCTCATCTGGGATGTGCTGCGTATCTTCTTGGGTCCTCGCTGTAGGAATAGCTGATGCCTCGCCTTTCACTTACCGTCCACGGTTTAGGATCATAATTAGTTGAGAGCTTGTCTTTCTTGGTTTGTTTCAGGACACTTGATCAGTTGGTCTCAATTCGCTAGTTTGGACTTATTCGGTCCGGGGTTTCAGTTTCTCCTTTTCTCTTTATCTCTCTTGGGTGCCACATCCCAACATGTCACTTCTGTGTCTTCTAAGTCATGACTCACTTGGGGATTTCACCTTGATGTTCCTTCCTTGAGGAGTTTGGCTGGCGCTCTCCGTCTCGAGTGTGGAGTGTTCCTGTAGTGCATCAAGAATTTACCGAGTGCCGTCTCAATCTTTCCCCTCAGTATGCATTGCTCGGATTGCTTTCAACATGGTCGCGAACCACTCGATTTCCCCATTTGCTTGGGGATGATATGATGTCACTTTGTGGTGTTTTATTCCCCATTCTTCACAGAACTGTGCAAACTCCTTGGCTCTGAACTGTGGTCCGTTATCTGACCACGATGACCGCTGGGATGCCGTGTGTAGTGATGCATCCTTGATCAGAGGTAAATATGAGTATCGTGTTGATAGTTTGACCACAAGGCTTCTGGCACCGGGATCCTGCATCGATGATTTCCAGTACATAGTCACCACTAGGAAGGTCCATATGTCACATGGATTACCTCCCGGCCCCTTCATCTCAGACATATTCACCGGATTGGCTTGTTTTTCTTGTGTCGAGGCATCTCACTGGTCGTAATCCGGTTATTCTGGTGGATACTGAGAAGGCCAAGATCCAAGCTGGCCCGCTTACTCAGAATATTCCCTCCCTGTTTTGCTGTTGTTACCAGGATTTTGTGTGCGACTCTCTTCGATCCATTTGACAGTGTTGCAAAGAACTCTCCTCGGAGTGGGATGGGAATGTTTCCATACGTTTTAGGTTGGATATTCGTTTCCTTGAGTACTATGTTCGGTCGTATTTTGACGATGTGTTCGAATGTGCCCCCGTCAATTAGATTGACGTTTACCCGAGTCAATCAACATCCTGACCGGTACGTCTTCTATCATCACCTTTTCCTCTGCAGTGTCGTCTGATGTCACTCTGAACACATAGGTATGGCCATCGTCAGATTCTTTTGTGCTCTTGGACGATACCTGGTGTACTTGATTGTCGTTGTTACCCGTCGAACTGTCCTCCATCAGTTGTCTGACCCTCTCTTGTCGGTTATGTTTTTTCCTGCACGCGGTGGCAAAGTGGTTGACGATTCCACAGTAGTTGCAATTTTTTCTAAATGCAGGACACTGTCTCTGTCCATGTCGATGGCCAGTACCATTACACCCGAGACAGTTCAGTTTTGGGTTGCGTGGCATGTCCTTACTTTGTTGTCTTCGAGTGCTTTCCCAGTCCTGCTGCTGTTGTTGTTTGTATCTTGTGTTTACCTTGTTCACATTGGTGCCTTCTTCACCTTGTTCCATCTGGCAAGCTTGGGCTTCAGTTGATTCATAAGTGTAAGCGATTTGTAGAGCTTTCTGTACTGTTATGTCTGTCTCCTTCAGGTATGCACGACGCATTTTATGTGAAGTACATTTCTCCGTCAACTGGTCGATGATGGCTTGGTCAAGGTTGTAGTTGTCGAAGTTGCACTTGGCCCCTTGTGTACGTAGGCGGGTTACGTAGTTGTGTGTACTTTCCCCGACCTCCTGCGCCAGCATCCGGAACTTGTGTCGTTCAAATACTTTGTTTGTTTTCTCACTGAAGTATTCATCAAGTGCTATTCTCATTGTTTTGTACGTTGGTTCTTTTTTGTCTGTCGGTATCGCTGGATGCAATGTCTTCATGATTTCCTTCAGTTTCTTTCCTCCATAGAATCTGATGAGTGCTAGTCTTTTGGCATCTTCAGTTATGTTGAATGCAATGAAGGCATCTTCAGCATGCTCTATCCAGTCAGTCCATGCTTGTGTTAGGTCAGTCTCCTCTAGCTCTAGAGGTTGTAGTGTTGGTATAGCAGTGGCCATGTTGTGAATAGATGTATGTCCTTGATCCTCGTCGCCAATTTACTGTATGCTCCGTCGGTCAGTAATATACTGTTTGATTTTGTTGGTGTTTATTGTCTCAATACAGAAGGCACCAATACCTGAAATGTACAGAACAGGAATTAACACACATAGGCTACACCATCTCACACATATACTAGTACACAAACTCCAATGACTATACGCTTGGAACAGTACTGCGGTCGTAAGTCGGGAGGGCTGTATTCAACAACGGTTATATATACTATTGTACTGTACTTGAATAACCAGCTGAACTTTACAGCATAAATGTTATTTAGGTTGACACTGCTATATAGTTAGCTCTTGATTTCCATGGGATTTACACCCATGGTGAATGGTGCAGTTATCAGATTGACAGAATTGAAAATTAATAACATGAGGAAAATGAGGTGCATTCTCACCCATGAATTCCCAGCTCCCCAACCCATTAAATTTAGCAATATATAACCCTGACTTCCTTATTGTAAAGTTATGCTTGGACCTGCTGAATACCTTTACATCTTAACATATTGAAAATGGACTTGGATGTCTTCAGTGCCCTAATTATGTTTTAGGTAAATTAACTCTCGTATAAGATAAACAGAGCAAACTTAACATGAGCTCAGTGATGAGGCTGTTGCTTCAGCAAAGAATATAAAATTACTGTACAGTGTAAAGTTAAGGTTTTGTAAAGGTTGAATTTAGAAGTGCACTGTATATCTATCCGGCTGTACTGTATTTAATGTACAGTACCTCTCTATTTACCAACCCATTACAACCCGCTTATCCGCAATGATATTTTCACCCCTATTCAGTATTCACAAAGCATACCCCACTTATTCACAAATTAAAAATTATGAAGCTCTGCTGTAATATTTCAAACTAGGCGGGCTAGCCACAGCTCTTATATTCCGATGTAAGGCCCTCTTCATTCACGAGCGTTTTTTCCGCATGTACGACCCATCAGTGAAATCGCCAAGCTTTCTAGAATTCCTCATATGATGAGTATGTTTTCCTGCATCAGTTGTGGTGCATTTATGGTAGGGGCTGGAAGTTCCTGTGATTATTTTTGTCAGATGCAAGCTAACTGAAGCGTGAAAAACAAGCCCTTGTTGACTGGAGAGTCAAGACCTATCAGGTGCTGCTCCTGCTGCAGTAGGTGCCCCAACCAATGTTGGCCCATGCCCCAGTCCTTCTCTCAACCCCTCCGCCCCACCGGGATATCATCATAATCCTGCCAAGAGTGACAATGTCATTTCGGAAAGAAGTGGGGTCAGTGTTGAACAGTAATGAACACTGTTTAAGCCATTGAATTCAGCACTAGACAGTACCACCAAGAACTGTGACCCACCAGTTATGTCCCTACCCAGAGATAAGCACCCTGAACTGGTAGTATAGTGTTAATCAGTCCACCCTGGGAACAACCATTGGTTGACTCTACACCTGATCACAAGATAACACATCACCACTCTGCAGAGAGTGAGGTACTGTAACACCAGTGTCTCCATCTCCACGTGAGGTCCTTTATATCAACACCTACGGACGAGTTAATGCACTACATGACCTACATGACACAGTAGGGCAAGATACCAGCCCCTGCCATCAATGTTAAATTATAATTTGTAAGTTCAATTCATGTTCCTTCTCCTTTTAGTATTGAAAGCGTTTGTTAAACAACCCACCCACCCCATGTCTTTGTATGCAATAAGTCCTTTCTGTCCAATGTATATTTTCAGCCTTCGGGCTGCTGAA